AATTCCTTATGCAACAGATTATTGCAGTTGAATTAGAGAACCAAATCATGTAGTTTATGTAAATATATGTGTAAGTACATGAATCCAGAATGCTTAGAAACTCAAAAGAAAGGCCTTTAACAGCTGTTCTTACAGTATTTATTTCTTGATAGTTCTCAAAATTAACTCTGAAAACATTAAATAGATATATTTTCTTGCACACAATTTGCTCATAGTTTATCATGATTCACAAATATACATTTCTCAATCAGACATTTATAAAAATACAAAAAAAATATTCATTGAGCATGGGGGGGGTAGAATCAGTAGTCCTTCTCCCCCTCACTCTCTTCCATTTTATCCCAACCTTCCTCTTCCTTTTTCTTCCTCCCTCCCTACCTTTATGCATCTGTGTGAAAATTTCCCTGGTATATATATTCAGGAGCACAATTGTTGTGTATATTCTACATTGTGTTAATTCACTTGTTGGTTTTCGACATTAAAAATGTCTCCTCCTAAATGTGGGATTCACATATAAATCAAGTATAAAAATCAAACAAATATTCATATTTGACCTGATTGTTTATAGTTCATAATGCGTGATCAAAACCGAAAGTTTCTGTGATGAATGCCCTTGTACTGTTCACCATGTAAGAACTTGTTCGTTATGCTTCAGAAGATTGGAGACTGACGAGAATTAGGCTTGGGGTGGATTAATGATTGTATATTGAGTCCCCTCTACAGAATTTTATTGTTGTTAACAACCATTTGATCAATAGATATGAGAGATGCCCTCTCAAAAAAAAAAAATGTCTCCTCCTTTTGTTAGTTGCCTGTTAGCTTTATCTTTGTGGTCTTTTACTGAATAGAGTTTTAATTTTGATATAATAAAATGAATTAAGATTTTGATTCTTGTCAAGATGCAGTAAGCACATTTTATCCCACCTTTCTCTCTGAACGCAAGTAAAAATCCTGAATAGAATGCATACAGCAGTTGATTGCTTGATTAAAAAAAAATAGATCAGTGCAAATCAAAACCACAATGAGATATCACTTCATACCAGTCAGAATAGCTAATATCACTAAGAAATAACAAGTGTTGGTGAGGATGTGGAGAAAAGGGAATTTACTCTTGAACACTGCTGGTGGGATTGTAAATTGGTGCAGCCACTATGGAAAGCAGTTATAGAGGTTTCTCAAAACACTGTAAGTATTAATACCATATGACCCAGCAATTGTACTTCTAGAAATTTACCCAAAAACAAAATCAATAATTTGAAATGATACATGCACCCGTGTATTTACTGCAGTATTATTTTCAATAACCAAACTATGGAAGCAAACTAAATGTCTATGAATAGATGAATGGATAAAAAAGATGTGGTACATATATATAAGAATATTACTCAACCATAAAGAGAATTAGCATCTTGCCATTTGAAATAACATGGATGGACCTACAAGGTATTATGCTCAGTGAAAAAAGTCAGATAGAGGAAGACAAATACCATGATTTTACTTCTATGTAGAATCTAAGAAACAAAACAAATGAACAAATAAACAAAACATAAATAGACTCAGACACAGAAAACAGACTGGTGGGTGGGAGGGGGCTGGCTCAGTAGGTGAAGGGGGGAAATAGAATGCTTGGTATCTTGATCTGGGTGATGGTTACATGAGTGTATTTACATGTCAGAATTCATCAAGCTCTATACTAAGATATGTGTATTTTACTGTATGTACCTCAATATAAAAAAAAACTAATTAAAAAGCAACTAAATAAATGTTCTCCATTGAATTTAACCAAGACTCAGTGTGAACAACAGCCATATAAATTTTCCTCTAAAATATGCTTTAACTGAGTCACATGTAATTTGACATGTATTGTCATTCAGTTTGAAATATCTCAATTTCCTTTAATATTTTCAGCAGCTTGATTGTAATGTGTCTGGTATGGAATTCTTTCAGTTCATCTTGTTTGGGAATCACTGAGTTTCTTGAACTGTAAGTTTATGTCTTTTGCCACATTTGGGGAGTTTTCAGCCATTATTTCTTCAAATGTTTTTTTCTGCACTATACTCTTTGTCTCCTTCTGGAACTCTGAGGACGTGAACATTAGCCCTTTTCATATTGTCACACAGTCTCCTGAGATTCTGTTCATTTTCCTTCCATTTTTATTCTCCATGTTGTTCATATTGAATAATTTCTATTAATCTGTCTTCAAATTCAATGAGTCATTCCTCTGTCATCTCCATTCTGTTTATTGAGACCATTCAGTGAATTTTTAAATTTTTGGTTATTATAGTGTATTTTTCCTCCTACAATATCCATTTGGTCCCTTTTTAATCTTCTTTTTCTCTGATGAAACTTTCTCTTTCCATTTGTTTTTACAGGATTCCCTCTTAGTTATTATTGGAACACGATTATAATGGTCTGATAATTCCAACATCTTTGTCATCTCAGTATTGAATTAATTGTCTTTTTCTTCCTAAAATAATTGAGATTTTCCTGGTTCTTCAAATGTCAAGTAATTCTGGATTGTATCTGGGACATTTTGAGTATTATGCTGGGACATTTTGAGTATTATGCGACTCTGGTACTGGTCTTTGCCAGCTTCTTAGTTATGCTTAAGATAGCTGAGAATTATTTTCTAACTTTGAATTGTTCCACATAGAGTAGTTTATATTTCAATTTTGCTTTACTGGAATCTTTAAGGGGAATTTTCATATTTCTTTAACTTCTTACTTATCCCTTTTAAGAGTTTAAAACATTTTTTTCTAATTGATTTTTCTAATTATTTCTAATTATTCATTTCTTGGTAGAGTCAATATGCTCATGTATATGTACTGTTCATTCTTAGCTGAACTTGCACATAACAGGTTTTTCTGAAGCTGCCCAATTTTGCCAGTTGCCTTTTGGACTGTGATTTTTAGCCTGACATTTGCAGCCTCAATTATCTGTCTTGATGCAGAGCCAAAAAGGAGAAAAAAAAAGATTTGTGCATAATTTTTATTTTGGAGTTGTCTTTCCCACTTCTCTAATCTCTTCTTCCTTTGCAACTGGGCTATCCCTAGAGATATCTAATCAGCTCATTAGAAAAACTCCTGACTTTTAGCAACTTTATTCTATAGATATAAAGTTGATACATGTGCAAACTCAAGGTTCTACACCTCTTGCTTAGCAATGAACTACTCTTTAATCAGACGAGCAATGGTGAGTATTATTGAATTTCAAATGAAGAATACAGTTTAGTTTTATGTATTGGCTTGCTTAACTGGTGAGGCTATAATGTCCATGCCATTTTCATTTATGTTGCCAAAAAGGTAATCCTTTTTAGGAATTGTTTTTAACTCTCCAAAGTAATCTGTTTTTCATACAACTGAGTAAATAAGTCATTTCAAGTAAGACTTTATGTAACTACCTAAAATCATTCACTGAACTGTTACACAACATATGTTGTTCCTAAAGTGAACATTTTAATATAATTTCATAACTTTATCTCATATAATCTACACACTGAGTTATTTAACTCTCCAATACCCAGGGAGAAAATTTTAGGAAATATTATCTTCAAGAATAAAGAAAAGCTATCATTTTAAAGAGGATTGTAATATGTATTATCCATTTCTGGGCTGGATATATTACTTTACCTGGAAATCCTAGTGTAAGCATGTTTTATTCTTAGATGCTTTGATAACACTGTTATATAATACTAGAATCCTATGAAGAAGGATAATGTAAGATAATTACTGAGCAGCACTGAGAGATTATGGGTCTTATACAGTAATTTGTCCAGCTATGTGTTTAAAATATGGCCATGCCATGTGCCCCTCTACAGAGCAAGAAGAGTGTGGGAAGGAGGGAGTGCTCTCATGCTGAGAGTTTGGCAAGGGGTGGCTGTTTAATGAGGATGTTTAACTAGGATGAGTGAACTGCGGTGGTCACTTTGTGTGTGTGTGTATGTGCATGCGCACGCTCACACAGGGGTGCATGTGCACATGCAACATCAGTGGGGGTAGCTGAGGGTTGGAACTCAGCACAGTTCAGAACACTGTACAGATAATGAATGACTTAATACCTTAACTTAAGAACTAATAATAACAAAGTGACTTTCCACTTTCATGGAGGTTCCAGTCTTATAAAGGAGACAAGATACTTTAATATAAAATGATAAACTGGCAATTCAAAGCAATACAGGATAATGTTAATAGCTCACACCTATTGAGTGTTTCCAGTGTTATGAACTCATAGAATGTATTTTTTTATTTAATCCTTGCAGAAACTCTATGAGATTGGTCTTATTGGTCCTATTTTTAAATTAGGAAATCGAGGTTTGGGTCAACCAAAGTTCTATAACTACTAAATGGCAGAGTCAGGATTAGAATTTAGATGTCATCAGATTCTGCAACTTCTTAGCCCCTCTACCACTTGCTCCCTTTTATAGCAGAGTAGAGCAATGGGTCATGATGAGCTGGAAAGAACAGGGCAGATAAGGACGGGGTACAGGACTGCTTCTGAAAAAGCACTGTTGTCATTGGGATAATACTGGAAAAATCAGAAGAGTATTATTAATGAGACAAATCAAAGAAAACATGATTACAACAATCTCGCTTAATATCTCCATATAAATAGTTTTTTCTTTATAGGATCCATAGAAATGCACAAATGAAAGAACAATCAGGGTTCAAAACTAGAATGAAAAGTCTTTCACTGGAAATGACTGGGGTTTTGTGAAGGATGGGCACAATACTTTAGTTATAAAAAGTACTTCTTTAATGACATTAGGTAGAGTTTTACTTCTCAAAGCAGAAAAGTATACAAGAACAATAGTGACCTCCCTTAGGTCAGTGGGTAAGCAAGTGAGATTAAATCACTCCCTTCTCTTAATAAGCATTCCTTATGTGTGAAAAGATTTACTTTTAGAGTCTTAAACTGCTGCAATTGGGCCACTGGATGGACTCTCTTTGTTCTTTACTGTTCAATTCTGAATATTATGTTTGACACTCAGTTCTACCTGACAGGTACCACCAAGAGAGCACCATCCTGTCCAAGAACTCACCCTTCTGTCCTCCTTCAGACCTCGAGAAGCTGTCTGTCTGTGACCAAAGGGCCTTTCGACCTCTACCTACACCCTCCAAGAGTAGCTGTCAGTCCACATCAGCCTCAGGCAAGGCTGTCAGCTTGCCATTTTGCACGACAAACACAGAAGGACCCCAGGGACTACTAGATCACGCTCTAAGTGAAATCCCTTTCAAGTGCAATGGCAACAGAAATGAGTTTTACTTAGGAAATTCCTCCCTGGCCTCCCCTTCACAGTGCAACCCTAACCTGGAGAAAAAAGATTCAGAACTTCATTTGTACATTATTTCCACAACTTCATCTATATTTCTGTACTTAAAAAGCTCATGGAACAATTATATTATATTAAGTGTCCTCATAAATTAACCTTGACTCAAGTATTATTTTTTAGGGCAAAACATGTCTTTTGCTCTACCTCTCCATTTTGGAAATTTAGCCTTGGAATTCAAGAATACTGTGAAAAACAAACATACTGGACAATTAAGGAGATGATTTTATGCAGGCTATTGCAATAGAGAAAATCCTCATTAATTAGGAGTGTCTTAAAGGGAAGCAGTTGAAGGGTTTTATATATAGGCAGATAAACAAGGGAGTCATCAGTGAGCCTCCGGGGAATCATGAAGGGTGGAGACAGGTCTTAGCTTGGAATATCTGTGAGCGGGATAGTCTTTGTCAGTTAGCAGTAGTATTTCTCAACCATTTCTGCTTTCAGAGCACAGAACTCAGATAAGTTTTAATACTGTCAATATGTCTTTATTTCTCAGCTGAGCTATTCTAAGTAGATTAATGGGAGTCATTGTCAGAGTATCACATAATTTAATAGAGGTCACTGAGTCTAAGTCTCTTATTTTATGACTGAGGAAACTGAAGCACAAAAATTTAAAGTGACTTACTCAAGGGCAGAGTCAAAACTCCCACTTAGGGATCTTTTTATTATACCAGGATCAGTTTAAAAATAACTAATTTATTAAAGAATAACACAATCCTTTTCAATTATCTTCAATGGTATATAATTTTTATTACTGATCTTCCCACATAACAATATTAAGAAATATGAAAGGTTCTTTTCACTCAGAATAATCCAGGAAGCAGGGACTTTTATAAATGGTTAAGAATTGTGAAAGACTGTAAGACAACTCTAATTTTTTTCTTATAGCACAGTTCAGAATGCTTAAAGTTTAAATTAAATGCTAAATGTTTAAAATTTCTCTCTAAATTTTTAAACAGCTTCTCCAAGTTAGGAATGTAAATGAATCATAAATAGAGGGAAACAACTAGTCTAGAAGGTCTTATATATTCTAATATAAACCAAAACAGTTGACTAAAAAAATTCTAACTAAATATGTCTAAATGACTGTTTATACTTCTCTGAACTGACCAATGCCTGGTTTTAGTACCACTTTTTAATTCTGTAGCAGAGGCATGGTTGGGGCAAGTCAGCTAGGCCAACTCATAGCTCTTCTGATAAGAAAAGCAGTAACAATAATTAGCATGTATTTGTATTAACCACTAGGATCTGTTCTGATGCTTTCTGTATATTAACTCATTTAATCTGCACAACCCTGTGAGGTAGGACTGTTACTTTCATTTTATAGATGAGAAGATTAAGGCATCAGGAAATTAAACAATATATACAAGGTTGCACAACTAGTGTAGAGCTGGGATTTGAACCCAGGTAGTCTGATTTTTTTTTTTTTTATGGCCACTGAAATAAATGTGAGTGGTGGAGAGTTATGTTTGTGAGTTGGTAGATACTGTCATTTAAAAACTGCTCTCTCCCTTGAAAGATGGAAATGGGTAAATAAATACAACCTACATCAAAGACAAATCAGTTTAGCATTCTAGTAAGAGTAAGACATTAACTGAACATAAACATTTTAAAAGTTGTGACTGACCTTTTTTATGATACTATTGAAGTCTTTCATCAGGTTGGTCACTTTGCCTAGGTCTTGGTGATGTCTTCCTAAGTTTTAGGATATTTAAAAAAATCTTCTTCTAAATCAGACTTATCTTAGTTAAATTAATCTCTTGTACCTAGAGATCTAGCATGATCTTTCGTGCTGAGGTAGGGAAATGCTCCTGGGAAAAAGGATTGGCCACCTTAACTCTTAATACTTTCAGGTAAAATTAACCTAATCATCAAGTTAGAAACTGGCATTCATTCTGGTTTTAAGGTTTACAGAGAGTTTAGTCTTCTTGAGTAACCTATTTTATCTGTAACTATCACCAAAAGTAACTGTACCTGAGTTGTTTAACATCTCGTATTCTACAAAGACAAAATATGGCAATTCTTTGCCCTTGATAATGCTGTGAAGATAGCTGCTAGAAAGCTAAATAATTGAGGAATATCCCCAAGTTAAAATTCTAGATTTAAGTGAAGCATAAATATTTGGAGAGGAAAAAAAGACAGTTTTTTGTTTTTTTTTTTAATTTAGAGCAGTGACAAAAGTAGTAAGAAAAAGCACATACTCTCCCCGACCCCCACACCCACACCCACACCCTGCTCTGATATAAAGGAATAAGGCAGGGGTAAGCTTGTTTGGAGTTGTAAATCAGCAACATTTCAAAAATTCCTTCTGACCTCTCTGTGAAGCCTCAACGTAAGTAAAATACCATTTAGAGATTTGCTGAACATTACATACCCACTTATTTTGAGGACCCAGAATGAATGGGAAATGATAATACTAAAACTATGAGTTAAAAAATAACCTTTTAAATAGGGGAATAGTTAACAAAATTATTGTCTACCTAAGCTAGGAATACTAAGTGGTCAATAAAAAGATTGAACTAAGTCTATACATACAGACACAAAAAACTGTCTACCATATGTTAAGTGAAAAAGAAACGTTCTAGACTCCTATATAGGATTTAATTTAGCTAGTATTAAATATATATTATTAAAATGTACCATATGTGTTATAAATGTATATGTTATAATTAATATGTTTTATATGCCTGAAAGATATAAACCAAAATGATTATAGTCAGTACTTTGAATAGTGGGATGGAAGGTATAGAGGGAGATGGGGAGCTTCAATGCTTTACCTTATGCATTTCTGTATTGTTTGGTTTTGATAGATAATTTTATTTTATAATGAGTAAATGTTATGTTTAAAACCTAAAAAAAACTATATAAAGAAAAAATTCCCTTTGGTATCATCAAACTCTGGAATGAGTTGTATAAACAAATCATGTATTATTGAAGGGACTAAATATAGATATATGACAGTGACTAAAAGTAGGCGGAATTGATTTAACAAAAATTCTAACTACTCCCACTTTTCTTCACTTTCAGAAAGCTACTCTTTTACAAGATCCCCTATATGTTAGTGAGCTCAGTCCTGCTACTGGAAGTCAAAAGCCATACAGGTAAGGTGTAATGATATGAGAGGGTTGCACGGGAGTTTTTCTCTCCTTTTTCCTCTCTTAACTCTATGTGTTGCTGACCACCACATTTACACCTCTACCTCAATGCCCTAACCTGAATTTTAGGTCTGCAAACACTGGGCATCACCTCCTGTAGGTATTACAGCAACTTTTAAGTCAGCATATTCGAAACAGAACTCAGCACTTTCCTTCTGAGACCTGATCATCCTGTTCTATTTCCTAACAAGGGGCTTGGTGGTGTTATCCCTAGATCATCTAAGCTAGAGACCTGGATATCACCTTGACTGTCTCTTTCTCTTTCACCGTCCCCCACATCCAGCCAATCACCACATGATTTATTGTGCTGCTTTAATTAATCTGGATAACATTCACTTCTTCACACTGCCTTGTGCTTAGGCCCAATTATCTCTGTTCTGGGATCCTACAGTATTTTCTTAGCTGGCCCTCTGCCTTTATTCTTGCCCCTTTCCAGACCATTCTCCATTACGACAGGAATCTTTCAGAAGTACAAATCGAATCATGTAACTTCTGCCTTAAACCTTTTGGATGGCTCCCCATTGCCCTTGGGAGAAGGTCTAAGTCTGTAACAGCTCACACAGATCACCCTAACATTTCTTTTCAGTTTTCCATGGTCAGCTATTGTGTTCTGTGCATTCCTGCCCTAAGTTACTGATCCAGATGAATTTGTAGTTCTCAGAAAGCTCCTGTTTATTTCCCCCCTAGGCCCTAACCTGATGGGCCTTATTCTGGAACACTACTCTCTATACTTCCTCCCTTGTGAATAACTTCAACTCAAGAAAACTTAGCTAACTTTAAAAATGACTTCAGAAAACTAAGTTAAGGAGGGCCTTTCCATAACATCCTTGCTTACACATCTTGTAGCACTAACCAGTCTACATTATGGTTGTTTTTTCTTAATTATTGTGCAATATGCTCCTTAAGGGCAGGGACTGTAGCTTGGTCACCAGCACACAGAAGGCTACCAGTCAGCCTTTACCGAATAAATGAATGAATGGGATAAGATAGAGAGGCTGGGCTCAGATCATATAGGACATTGTATTCAAGGCTAAGGAGTTTGGGTTTTCTCCAGATTTCATAGTTTATATTCTTGTCACAAACACCCTTATACTGAAAGAGTTACATGTGAGGTGATTATTTTCCAGAAGATTGTGAGCCCCTGGAAGGCAAGGAGTATGATTTACTGATTTTTGTATGTTTTCTTTCTTACTTAAAACAGTGCTTTGCACATAGAAATCACTTAGAGATTGATGGTATCAACAGTTTTGATATTAAGAAAGTCATGGGCAAGTTTTGAGAGGTTTGTGATAGCGATGTGTATTGGGGTCATGTAAATGAGCTAAGAGTACGTTAATTTTAAAAGATGCATATATTCTCCACTAAAAGGAACCGTTGGGACAGAAAAATTTTTTTCTTATTCCCTTCTAGGTTCTTGGGCTGGTCTAATAATTAAATTGACATAAAACAGATTAACAGGAGAAAAACATATTTAATTTTGTACATACAGAAGCCCCAAAGATAGATGCAAATGCATCTAGGCAATTGAGGCTTATTTGCTATCCTGAGCTAAGGAATGGGATAGGGGGCTGGGGCTTCAAAGGGAAGGGGGGCAGTTCACAGGAAGATAAGAGCAGATGCTTGGTAATGAAATGTTGACTCTGCCACGCAGGTAAGCCTTTCAGATAAAAAAGTTTATCTTGGTATTAACTCTCTTTCTGGTCCAGGCCCCCTATCCAAATTCTTCTAGGCAGTTAAGAGGTAGGTAAAAGTCTGTCTTCAGTCTACTGGGTCTTAATTGCTTTCAGCTCAAAATCTGGGACTGGCATATTCTACTCCCTTTCAGAACCAGCATTCCTTGGAGGAATGACTGTTCTTGGTCTGGGGCAGAAATACATAGATGAGTCTAAAACAGTTTGTGCCACCATGGAACACAGGAGCCCCCATGAAAGGGCTCCTAATAGCCAAAAATGGAACAATCTGAGTATCAGAAAAACATAATGAATTGGAACTCACTGAATGCATAAAAATTCAGAGTATATAATGATGAACCATACAGAGAAAGTCTTCCCTGCCACCCCCAACAGAAAGAAGTGAAAACACATTGAACTCCATTAGAAGTAAATAGGGCATCAATTCCTTACTGAAAATAGGCAAACAAATGGAAATAATTATGCATTTATCCTGCCTTTCCTGCATGAACTGTAATCAGTTCAGGGTAACCTAGTAGCCCAAGTTAATGAGGGCAAAGTCCATTTTACAGAATTCCAGCTAATGAACGTGGAAGGTAACAGAACTAGAAAATGACCGCTTTTGCAATCCCTAATGAAATAATATATTCATGCAACAATTCTCAATGGATGAAGCCATTAGTTAGAAAAGCAAAGTGGAATCTCAAAATGGAGGGACTATTTTGTGAATAAACCCCATTGATCAGTCTTAGCATCACTTAAGTGGGACAACCAGATTTTTGTGCCTCATTATTTAATGTAATACAAAACACACAGCACCTCTTATAAAGTATCTTTGTTAGAACAATTAAATCTGAATCTGAGTTAAAAGTGTGTGTATGTCAGTCTTACAGAGTAATGATTCTGACACATGAAAACATGGAAGAACCTTGAAGGAATTATGCTAAGTGAAATAAGCCAGACATCACAGGACAAATATTATAAGATTCCACTTCTCTGAGCCACCTAGAATAAGCAAATTCATAGAAACAGAAAGTAGAATAGAAGCAGGGGCTTTCTACCAGGGTCTGGAGGGAGAGGGGTATGGAGAATTATTGTTAATGGGTAAAAAATTTCTGTTTAGGAAGATGAACAAGTTCTGGAAATGGATAGTAGTGATGGCTGCACAACATGGTGAATGCATTTAATGCCCCTGAATTGGGTACCTAAAAATCGTTACAATGGTAAATTTTATATTATGTGTATTTTATCTCATTTTTTAAAGGGTAGGGGTTTGTATGTGAGTGTGGGTATGTAAAGGAATAGATAAAGCAAGACTAACAAAATGTTGAAAGTAACTGAAGCTAGATAATGGATAGGTGGAGTTTCTTACATAGTTTTCTGCATTTTTCTGTATGTTTGAAAATTTTCATAGTAATTTTTTTAGAAGATTTAAACATAACAAGGAACTACAACAAGTATCTTATTTAGATCTTGATTTTAACAGCCAAATATAAAAAGACATTTTTAACACAATAGAGGACATTTGACTATGGACTGAGTATTAGCCAATACCAAGGAATTACTGATTATTTTGCTGGCTGTGATAATGATTTTGTAAGAAAATATTTATTTTGACATATATCCCAAGGTAGGTAGGAGTTAAGTAGCATGTTTGTGATTTTTTAAAACATGGTAATACACATAGCTTAGAAATTCTACATGTTTTTACATGTTTACTCTAAAAACTATCAGTTTTACTTTTGGTGCTTCATTTAAAGTGACTTTAAGGCTAACTGTATAATAAGTTAGGCTCTAACTTTATATATGTGTAGCTTGAAATTTATCCCTGAGGACAAGGAGTGTTCTGCCACTATCTTGACTCAGGAAAACTGTATTTCTTGTACAGTTATTTCCTGAAGACAACATATTTAAAATGCACTTTGAGGGATGCAATATATGGACATCATACACAAGAAATGGTCTCTACCTGCAAGGTATTTTCAGTTTTAAAGGAGTAAATATTCTTTGGGCTTTCAAATTAGAAATCTGTCACAAATATGAATTCTATAACCCAACCATTGTAAACATATACACAAAGATTCTCATATAATGTATGAAAGCCTCTCCTAGCTGTAATGCATTATACAAACGTAAGGTATTATTTACCTTAAATGTCTGGAAAAATGAAAAAATATAGGAAAAATAGAGATTATCATTTGATCAAGAATCCTTCTTGACACATTATTTGAGTGAATTTATATTTTGTAGCTGATAAACACATAGGATATCTGTTAACTAATATAAATTTTCTTCTGCTCCTCCAGCTTTAAAATGGGGTGATGAGGACTAGGCTGCCCTGTGGAGACTGTGGCAGGATCAGTGGTTGCTGGGGGTCAGGGAGGCGGGAGGGATGCCTAGGCAAAGCAGAGGATTTGGGGAGCAGTCACGATGGATGCATGTCATTTTACATCTGTCCAAACCCACAGAATGGACAACAGCAGGAGTGAGCCCCAGTGTAAAATTGGGGTGATAAACCCATCTGGGTTCATCAGTAGTAACCAATGCACCTCCCTTGATGGGGGAGGCAGTACATGTGTGGGGGCAGGTGGCGCATGGGAAATCTCTGTACTTTCCATTTTGCCGTGAGCCTAAAACTGTTCTAAAAAATAAAGTCTATAAAAAAAATGGGATGATTGCCTTCATCCGAAAGAACTGAAGCACATTTCTGATATTATAGTCAATACACGAAACAATTTTATATTATTTTCAAACAATTAAATGAAAAATAGCAGGATGATGAAAATAATAATACCCATCTCCTGGGTGGTGAGGATTCATAGAGCCACCCCAGCCCCCTGGTCTGTGTGGGGTAAACCTTAGCCATTATTGTCAGTGGCCCTATAATTAGGGGGGGCTGGTCCAAGCCTCTTCCCTCTTCTCTTTGTCCCCTGCCCAGGAGGTCCCCACGAAAAGGGGCCCCTTTCCTTCCTCTCACTCAGCGGCTCCCCTAGGGCAGGACCCAGCTTTCTCCTTGACCCCCACCCCCCAGGCCATCAGGAAGTCTAGGCCTCCAGCGTTTTCTAGTTCTCCAGCCAGTTCCCTCAGCTGACCAGCGGAGACCTCGCATTGCCCCAGAAGTAGGAGACGGGAGGGGCAGGGTTGTGGGGAAGAGAGAGGCGGAAGTCGTCTATTGGTGTATCTGCGTGTCCCTGGGGCTATTATCTTTGTCTAGGATCAGTCGCCCTAACAGACAGCTGGATATGTCTGTGGCCTTGACATCATCCCCACCCCCAGGTCCCCAGGTGGAGGGGAGAGAGGAGATGGCAAACTGCTGAGCCAGCCAAGCAAGCGTAGGGGGGCACTTCCTCCCCAGCCTTCAGGTCCCCGCAGAAGGCTTGAGATTTCCGCTCCGATAGCTCCTCAGCCAGGAGAGGACCCAGTTTTCTTTGTGTTTTGTCCCCTGTGGGTTGAACACCTGGTTTCTAGAGGTTGTCCAGGCAACACACTCTGCTTGGCAGAGAATTCGGTGAGGCTTTGCCAAGGTCTGAGTGGCTCCCAAGATCTGGCCCGGAACCAAAAGGACACCGAAACCTGACTGAAGAAAAGGGGCAAAGTTACTCTCTGGCTTTTCTGGCCTCCCCATCAAAGCCCTGCTACCCTGTGTTAGAATTGTCTGGATTCTTCTTTATCTCCTCCAATGACTGTCAGGTATGGATGACAGAAACCAATGAAGCATCACTAGACTAGCACGATATGAATATATATGCTGCATACATATTTGTAGCATTCATGTATTGGTTCTTAATATTTATTTGCTAGTAACTTAGATAGGTTTATTCTTAGTAGAAATGTATTTAATAATGATATGTTGACTCATAACCCTGCTGTTGATTAATGTCATTAATCCTAGCAATGTTATTGGTTATTGACATTATTTATTATCATTATTATTCCAGGAGTGATTTTACAACTGGAAGCCTGGTGATTTGTTACCCTGTATTTGATTTTTTTCTGTGCCTTGGTAATTTTTTGAATTGGTAATAGGAGGTAAAATTTTCAAACAGTCCCCTGAGGTACACCATGAAAAGTCTGGCCCCCTCTCACCTGTTTCCCTGCCCCCCCAGGTCCTCCTGAGGGTAACCACCGTGACAATGTCTTGTGCCTTCTCCCTGAGGAGATGGCCTGTGAGTCCACAGGCAAATGTGTGTGTATTTATACACCCCTTATAAATACACCCAGAAATGCAAGCAAGCAAGGCACACTGGTCTACATTGGGCTTTTTTCAACTTACTGGTGAAGGTAGTTTCACATCAAAATTACTCCATTTTTACTTTGCAATAGGCATCAACAGATCAATTTTAATTTTCTTTTTTGCTTTCAACCCTGTTTACAAAGTATAATGTACATACAGGAGAGTACACAGAACTTTCACGTTCTTTTCATTGGTTGCATTGTCTGGGTACAAGCAACCTTAATTTTTTTTTTATCAGCTTCATTGAAGCGTCACTGACATACAAAATTTAAGATACTTAAAGTGCACATTGTGATATTTTCCTCTCCTTTTTTACATTTTTAAAAAATTGAAATAGAGTAGNAAAGAATACAACTTCTCAGATTCAAAAAGACATATGCACCCCTATGTTTATTGCAGCACTATTTAGAATAGCCAAGAAATGGAAGCAACCTAAGTGTCCATCTGTAGATGAATGGTTAAAGAAGATGTAGAACATATACACAGTGGAATACTATTCAGCCATAAGAAAGAAATAAGTCCTACCATTGGCAACAACATGGATGGAGCTGGAGGACATTATGCTCTGTGAAATAAGCCAGGTGGAGAAAGACAAATGCCAAATGATTTCCCTCATGGGTGAAGTATAACAATGAAGCAAAACTGAAGGAATAAAATAGCACCAGACTCAGAGACTCCAAGAATGAACAAGTGGTTACCAAAGGGGAGGGGTGTGGGAGGGTGGGTGGGGAGGGTGGGAGAAGGGGACTGAGGGGTATTATGTTTAATACACATGGTGTGGGGGATCACAGGGAGAACAGTGTAGCACAGAGAAGGCACATAGTGGATCTGTGGCATCTTGCACTGATGGATAGTAACTGCATTGGGGTATGAGTGGGGACTTGATAATAAGGGTGAATATAGTAACCACATTGTTTTTTCATGTCAAACCTTCATAAGTGTATATTAATCATACCTTAATAAAAAAAGAAAAAAATAGTTCAGTATTATAATCTATTATCATAGGTGCGAAACAGTAAAAACAGTATTTCTATATGGATCTTAGCAAATCGTTGACAAATGGGAAAAACTGGAAAATCAAATCGAAAATAATTCTGCTATTGTATTTTTTTCTGAGGCTTTCCTTTTCTAAGCTCATTTATGAAAACCACAGTCTGCTTTTGGAGTTCTCAGACCAGTAGGAGGATTTAATAGTTACTTTTAAAATGAAATGTGGTAGTAATTACAAGTGAATAGGGAAGTAGAACCTCACAGTTCGTTCTTACTTCATTTAGATACCACTTATTGAATGCTTACTGCCTGCTAAGCACATATAATACCTAAAGTATCAAAACAGGACAATGGGAAAGATACTGTCATCATCCCCGTTTTACAGACAAGAGACTACAGAACTTGCCCATAGTAATTACCCAGCTGAGTAGGGCAAATGTAGGATTCTGTTCATCCTGTCTGATCCCCAGGCTCACAGTCATGTTTTTTCTGCCTCTATGATTGCTATCACCGAGTTCTTAATGATAATTTCTCTTCCAGTGTCTCTGCTTGAAAAGAGACTGTTTTTCTTAATTTCTGTGTTAAATAAGAGAGGCTCAATGACTGGATAGGGAAGAACATCTTAGATTTTTTTAAAGAAAGGGGTAGTAGTAGACTGTAGTAGTATTGCGATAAATGACTGGTATCAAAGTTTGTGGAATAGGTGGCAAAAATATTTTCACTTCAAGTTAGAAATTCTAAGAAGTTTCATCAACCTACACAGAATGTGAAACATGTCTCCTACTGTTGACTTACATTTTGCTTTTCTGAGCTGTCGTATGTTGTATGAGCATGGACAGGTTCCTTAACCTCTCTACCATCCTGTAAGTGCGATAGCAATTCCCAGCTCAGCCCCCTTAGTGGGACTGAACAAACTAGACTGTGAAAAGTGCCCAGGCCAGAGCCTGCCAAACAGTAAGCACTTTGTTATTGTTATTACTGAGGACAGCAGGAGATGGAAACCATGTTTACCCCGATAAGGATTTCTCAAGCTGCTGAAAATCACCTGAGAGGCCAAGACAGAAATAACTAGTGATGTGAAACAGGATTAGTGTAATATAAGAAGTGTGGAAGAGGGTCCCTGTTCTTTGGTGGAGTTAGGGAAAGCTCTAAGGAGAAGGTGTTATTCATTTATTCCAGCTATGCCAGCTTTTCCTGAAGTGTAGAAGACAAATGGGTCTGTGATGGGAGATGATTTCATGTGGTACTTGGACACATGCATAAAATAACTTTGAATTCCGTGGTGAAGAAGTGATTTCTTTTCCAGCTAGTCTGGTCTTGTTAGGGAGAACCTCTCAGCTTATTGCTGGTAGTAGCAGCTAACACATGCTCATCTGCCTTTTTGTCAAAGAGGGAGCTGGCCTTGGACTTGGGATATGGAGCATCTACTTAGAATTTGTGTTGCTTTCATGCTACTTTTACAGTTACCTGTTATTTATGGCAAGGGATACTGGCTTTCCCTGTAAAGTAGTGACACAAAGTTTTCTTTATGAATCTTTCTAAGCAGAAAAAAAAAGTTGACTTAAAGAAAAACATTAATAATATTACATATGGTTCATGTATTATGGTAAATGGTATGTGAACAGACTCTGAGCTAGACTATGAAAGAGGGATAGAAGTTTATCACAGACAGAATATTCATCATTCAGATACAGCTTGAGTAAAGGTGCATGAGCACCAAGTATGTTTGCAGAGTAATAAATAACCTGATTTGGGGGGAGCAAAGTTCATTACTGATGAATTATAAAGTGACAAGTACAAAACTATATTAAAATTCCATGAGTAATAATGTAGTAATTGTTGATATTCCTCAACTTCTGTTTCTTTTCATTTTTTTTACATGGAAAATTTTCTTGTGTTTCTCTAGATCTGAGGAGAAAATAAAGCACTTCAGTCAACTTAAATCTGAACTTTTTCTTAAAGACAATACTTTGAGGAGGATACTTTGTTTAATTACAGAACTTAAAGTAGCAGCCCAGAAAAACTTCATTCTGAAAAGGCTTTTCTGGAAAGTAGGTGGTCTACTTTTAATCCTTAAAACTGGTTTCACCTGTTTATCAAATGTAGCTTGTTCAAGCATAAAGTAAACTATAAGAAAATGTCTTATATTCTGATGCTGTGTTTTAAAATGTTGGTAAAACTTAATGCAATCATGTCCTAGTGCTTGAAATGTGATGTGATCTATAATGTATTCTTTTGTGTGCTGGAAGGGAGATGGGAAGAGAGGAGAGTGATAGCAAAAACATAGTAGCTCATGTGGGTTGGGCTGGCCGAGTCAAATAATTAGAAGGGAACTTTTGGCATGCGAGATGTATGAGTTAAACACTGTGATGAAAGAGTAGATGTCAACAAGTTTTACTGTACAGGTACCCCCACAATAAAAATATAATCTTACAAAATTACTTCTGAATGTAGGAATGTTTTGTTTTTAAAACTGTGATTCCAACATGGTGAAGGGGGGAGCCTAGTAAACATAATGTTCTGCATGTAACTGTAGATTAATGATAACAACAACAACAACAAAACTGTGATTCCTTGGGAGTCAAGGCAACCTAGCTGTCACTCAGCAGTTACAGACTTGCTCTGTAAAACTTTCCCTTTCAACTTCAGGTGAGGGTATTGAGAAGCCTTGGTGAGTACTGGTGTGGTACATAGATGCTCAGGGGAGGGGTGAGCCTGCCAGGGCTGAGGTCATGGTGATGGCTATGTGCTGTATCTGGATTCTGACCAATACCCTCATACATGGTTACCACCATTTTACTGAACAGTTGTGAAGTGCACAGCTCCCCAGCCATATGAGACAGTCCTGGTCAATCCTTAAGATTTTCTGTGCTTCACAGGTAGGATAACCAACCATCCTATTTTGCCCAGACGACCTGTACCAGTTTACCTGGGACTAAGGAAGTTCCCAAGACATGGGACTTTCAGTGCAAAAGTTAGGACAGTCCCAAGAAAACTGGGATGGTTGAACACCCTAATTGGGGGGCATAGTAGCTATACGGAACAGTCCCCAACATTGAGCCAGATAGGGTAGTATAGTGCTGCATAATCTAAAATGCTTGTACTGGTTAGAGCTTGTTAGGAATACACCATCCAAGTTTAACTCGAGAATTTCAGAAGATTGTGGAAGATACAGGAACAGGCATTGCAATGACCAACCAAGGTGATTATGAAGATGGAAATTTGTTCATGTAGAAAGACTAAAGAAAATGGTATTACCTCGCACCCAAATAAATCTCTCCACTCCATCCCACACATGGTACCAGTTTAATCTATAACTCAATATATGTGGCCTTGCTCGCTCAAAAGCCTATTATGGGTCTCTTTACTAGTTCAGTACAAACACTCAGGCTTGGCAAATAAGGCTCTCCACCAATGGCCTCTATCAGAGCCCAAATTTGAACAGGCATGGCCTTTATTTTACCAGGGCAGGTTATCAGGAAAGGGCCAGCATTTGCATAGGGCAGGCACTGGAGAACGAATCCAGCTGTAGGTGCTCACAGAGAAGGCCTACTGTCCACAGGTAAGTGACCTCTTCATAGAGGATCTGCAACAATGAAGTATCAGGACATTTCAGCATTAACCCAGATGTCTACACAGACATTTGGCACCAGGGAGAACTGCTTATTTAGGGTTTGAAAAAGGGTCTTCATGGAATGCAGGCAAGGATATAAAGATTGTCAAGAGTAAAGCCAGTAGCTGGTACAGGTCTGGCAAAGGACTCAGCACAGGCCCAAGGGAGAAGTCCACTTGGACAAACTAGGCATATGAGAGGACTGGATTTAAAGCAGATGTCGAAATACCACCTAAGGGTTAGACTAGGAAGATGGTGTTGATGTTGAACACCAGTGTTGGTCCTGAGGTTGTTTAAGCCTCTCCAATCTTAAAATGGGCCAGATACAGGTGGCCTCGGGTGTGAAACAAAAGGATGCAGACAAAAAAAAGAAAACTGGGCCTAACTTATTCAACCCACCACTTCAACACCCTCACCTCTTTCTTCTACAAGTTCAGGCCATGTGGAATGGCTCAAACACCCTGTCCTTTCCTGCTCCTCTATGGCTTCCCCTGTTGCTTGCTTTCTCTAGGATACTCCTTCTGTTTTCTCCTGTTAAAATACTACCCAGTCATTCTTCAAGGCTCGGCTCAGATGCTATTCTTCTGCCTTTCCAGTCATTTTCAGAGGGATTTGGGTACCTTACCCTTTTTGATTCGTTATGGCACTTCTATGCCATAGAACTTTCTTTGATGTTTCATAATCTGCATTGTTCATTAAAGTAGCCAGTAGCCATGTGTGGCTATTAAACACTTGAATGTGGCTTACCACTTAAGGAAGTGAAATTTTAATTTTTTAAAATTTTCATCAGTTTAAATTTAAATAGCCACATGCGGCCAGTAGCTACTGTATTGGGCAATGAATGCAGTTTCATGGCAACTGTCAGAGCACTTCCTCTTTAACCATTCAACAAACATATACTGCAGGCCTGTTCTGTGCTAAGCATGTTAATAGGAACATTAGAAATGCACACATGCTTAAGATACAGTTCCTACTCTCAAGAATTAGCACTTTGGCCCTTTTACTATAATTATTGGCACGTTTTTCTTATTTACCACAATAACCTGTCTTCAGGACAGGCATATATGTCTTCCTCATCTTTGTACTGTCCCTAAGGCCTACCACAATGCCATGCTTTCACCAGGTCCCACAGTCAATTCTTAGTGAACTGAAAATATATTTCTCTTGTAAAAAATTAACCCGATCAAAATTTTAGGAATGAAACCTTTATGTTGTTTCGTACTTGAAAATACTGCAGCTATTCTTTAATATAATGTCCTTAGATGGACTAAAATAGGTCTTGAGCACTCAGCTGTCAGAAATGGAAAGCCAACATGGATGGAGAGGGAAGTAACAGGCCCGGGCAGTCTCCCTGTCTGGGGTCTTCCCACACCGCAGTGGA